GTGTATTAATAAAAAGCATGTGAACTGCATATAGATCAAATTTATTTTGTTTAACGAGCAATATTGATTTATAATGTATAAGCTAATTATTTCCATATACTCTCACCGTTTGTTAAAATGAAATCTATTGCACACAATAATAACATGACTACTTGAGAGTCATATCATATGCATTGCATGTAAATCATAACCAGCATTTTCATTCTAAGAAAAATTTCATAAGAAATTCCAATAGTGCAAAATTATATGCCTACCATATAACATTGAATGTGGAAGTTGGTTCAGTGTACCGGAGGTTACTGATCGATTTCGTTTCACGTGAACTGTAAACTGCAGGGGCGGGATGTGCAGTCAAATCGGCCTACTGAAAATCCATCAATGAGATGTAAATGTGTAAGCATTGAGTTTGTCACCTCTTTCGTTCTCTCGCTGTTTAAACGGTTGAAGGAGTGTGTTGATGTGTTAATCAGCCGGAGAACGAAAGAGACAATAAATTTACTGCGCCTCACCGGTTTACGTTCATTGATTTTCCATATGTGTATTTGGTTCCAAATATCAACAAACCATCGTTGCTTATGGCTTTGTTGTCGTTTGGAACCAGTTATGCGAGGTAGGCGACGATTGTGCGTATTTGACAGTCACCTCCCTCCCAGGTAAACTGCGAAAAAAGGAAACTGTAAAATCATAGACAAACAGACATAACACTCGCAGTTGTTCATCGAAACGGTCAATTTAAAAGTGTCGTAGTTGGTAGTACCGCCACCTGTGGCACGCATAGTCAATTCCCTTGCGTTTGACGTTTACACATTACCGCCATCTGTTCAGCGTACTGCCCACCACAGTGTACTCAACAGATCTTCTTCTTCTTCTTCTCATTTCAAGCTTATTGCATATCGCATATTAGCCTATTGCGTGCTCTCAACTTAGTGTTCCAGATGCACTTCCACAGTTATTAATTGAGAGCTTTCGATGCCTGTACCATTTTTGCATTGGTATAATTGTGTGGCAAGTCCATGCTTGCTGTGCTCTTTTGGACGGTTTTAACATTTACGGGTTCACACAAGTGAATACTTTTCCGAACCGAAATGGACGTTTGCTAGATCTTGTCCTGGCAAATGATTCCGCACTACCGGGCACTTCTGTTTCCTTGCCGGTCGAGCCACTGATTGATCTAGATGCCGATCATCCCGCTCTCGTCGTGTCGTTTAGTTTACCTGCGCCGATTCTTTTTACGCCGTCATCTGAGTGCTACTCTTTGGACTTTCGCCGGGCCGATTATGTTGCATTGAACAATGCGCTTGCGGAAATTGATTGGCAATTTATCGAAACTGCCGCTAGCGTGAATGATGCAGTGGATTTTTTCAGTGCTGCACTGGAAGATGCTATTTTCCGCATTGTCCCAGCTCGACGACCTCCGCTAAAGCCTGCATGGTCTAACCCACGCCTACGCGTGCTAAAACGTCAACGCTCTGCCGCCCTCCGAAAGTATTGTAACTCTCGCTCGCCGTACTACAAACGACTGTTCAATTTTGCGAGTCGTAGTTATCGAAATTACAATCGTTTTCTCTATAATCGGCACGTGAGACACACGGAAGCGAACCTTCGCACGAATCCGAAAAGTTTTTGGTCGTTTGTCAACTCAAAACGGAAGGAATCCGGGTTGCCTTGTTCCATGTTTCTCGGGAATGACTCGGCTAATAGTGAAAGAGAAAAATGCGACTTGTTTGCTCGTCATTTCAAGCAAGTGTTCAACGATTTCTCCGCTTCGCCAACACAAGTGCTGGATGCTGCTGTTGGGATGCCACGTGATGTGTTTAGTTTCGTTATTCCGCGCATTTCAGAAGACATGGTGATAGCCGCAACACGCAAACTGAAGCTCTCGTTCGCCTCCGGACCTGACGGCATTCCGTCATCAGTTCTAAAACGTTGTGTAGCCAATCTCTGCCTTCCACTTGCGAGGCTATTCAATCTCTCGGCACAGCAATGTGAGTTCCCCTGCCACTGGAAACTTTCTTATCTGTTCCCAGTGCACAAAAAAGGAGATAAACGGAATGTCATAAATTATCGTGGAATCACCTCCCTGTGTGCCTGCTTAAAACTGTTCGAGATTATCATAAATGATGCTCTGTTCGCACGCTGCAAAAATTATATCGATACAGAACAACACGGTTTCTACCCGAAGCGCTCCGTGTCCACGAACCTGGTGCAGTTCACTTCTAACTGTCTGCGATGCATGGATTCAGGATGGCAAGTCGATACTGCGTATATGGATCTAAAAGCTGCATTTGACACGGTGGACCATAATATCTTGCTGGCCAAGCTGGAGATACTTGGCATCTCGTCAACTGCTGTGGATTGGTTCAGATCTTACTTGGTGAATCGCTATGTACATGTCAAGATTGGCGCGTCGGAATCGGATGTTTTCTCAAACAACTCGGGAGTCCCGCAAGGCAGTAACCTAGGACCGCTACTATTTTCGATCTTTTTAAACGATGTCGCCTTGCTGATACCATCAGGATGCCGCGTTTTCTATGCAGACGATACGAAAATCTACAAAATTATTAAAAGCCTCTCGGACTGCTGGGATCTCCAGAATATGTTAGGTATTTTTGCTGACTGGTGCTCAAGAAATTTGATGAGTCTAAGCAATAGAAAAATGTAACATTATTTCCTATCACCGAAAAATCGAACCAATCATGTTTGACTATGTTCTCTACGGACGCTGTCTTGCTCGTGTAGAGCACATAAAGGATCTCGGCGTTACCTTGGACTGCAGACTCACTTTCAGAATCCACTACAATGACATCATCTCCAGAGCTAATCGAAAATTGGGCTTTATTTTCAAAATTGCCGACGAGTTTCATGACCCGCTATGTCTCAGGTCACTTTACTGCTCGCTTGTGCGATTCTTATTGGAGTCAAGTTCAGTTGTTTGGTGCCCTTTCCATGCTAGCTGGATCACTAGAATTGAATCCGTTCAACGCAAGTTTGTGAGATATGCTCTTCGTTTCCTCAACTGGCGTGACCCAACGAACTTGCCACCGTACGAGGAGCGTTGCCGTCTCCTGGGAATCGAGCCATTAGAGGTGAGACGGACGGTCGCTCAAGCTATGTTCGCTGGAAAGCTGCTTACAGGTGACATTGACTGCCCAACACTGCTGTCACAGTATGCCCCTGAGAGGTCTCTTCGTCAACGCGACTTTCTGTTTTTGGAACCACGGAGCCGGAATTATACACAACACGAGCCAATTCGAGCAATCAGCCGGCAATTGAACAACTTTTTTTATATTTTCGACTTCAATGTATCAGCTGACGTGTTTCGTCATCGGCTACTTGGCCTTTTCCGTACCGTTGACCGTAACTATTTAGTTTAAGTTTTATTGATTTAGACAGTAATTGTCAGTTGAATTTTTCAATGAACAATAAACAATAAACAATAAACAATCCAGATCCAATGCCCCGGATACGATCTCGAAACTACCAAACAGCTGATAAATACGATCAATCGTGTGTTTTGAGGTGGCAATCACCGTGATTTCATCAGCATAAGCAACGCAAAGGTCACCAGCGCACACACGCTCCATCCATGTGAGGAGGGGACGAAGATAGAGCACGAACAGCAGCATCGACATCGGGTCTCCCTGACGTACGGACTGTTCTATACGGAACGGCTCTGAGAGACACCCATTCACTAGCAACTTTGATGAAGAGGCAGCAGCGACTCGAGAGAGCCAGCAGACGAAACCCTGGTCGAAGCCCAGAGAGAGTCCGATGCAGGAACTCATGAGAGACCCGATCGAGCGCGTGGTTAAAATCGAACGAGATCATCTTCCCCTTCGGCTTCCTCGCGATTAGCTGCGCAATACGATCTTTGAGCGAGAGTGTAGCTTGAAAAATAGAACGGTCGGTATTTGCGCATTTTTGAGAGTCGCTCAGAACTCGATGGATCCGCAGTAATTGTTCCAGGCGGGCCTTCATCACGCGGGAGAGGATTTTAAAATCGACGTTGAGCAGGCTGATCGGACGGTATGCTCTTGCTGTCCCATCCACACCTCGTTTTTTAACCAACACAATAGTGTCATCGGCGAATTCAGATGGGAGCTCATTCGTCATAGCTTGCTGGCTCTCTCGAGTCGCTGCTGCCTCTCTATTCTCCTCAGAATTACCATGTAATTCTACTTATAACTCCCGTGGAATTCTCCATTGAATTCACCTGAAGTATTCCTCGCTAAGTTCATGTTATTCTTTTCAATATTATATTGTAATTCTTTCCAGCATTTCCATTTTTCCCATTTTTTGGAGCATTATTTTTATTATTCTGGAAAACGATGTAGTTGGTAGATAAGAGCGGAAATGCACTTCATTGAAAAGTTCCAAAATAAAACCTCGCTGAATTTTCCCCTTTAACATGTCGCCTGGCGTGGGTCGTTTTTGACACCCCCTCACTCAGTAATGTAAAGGGGCTTGGAGAAAAAACAATCGATCTTCAATTCAATTAACAAAAACCCGGCAACATGAAGCTATTCAAATGGAATGATGATGCATCAAGCATACGTCATATTTTAGCCAGAAAACCATTTTTTTTCGCTGTTTCGACCAAGTTAATTTCTACCATACAACGATTCCGTATCCAAACAAAATCCATCCGTCAATGGTCCAGTTATAAAAGCTGGAACTTAAGTTTCAAGTTTCCACTTATTCCTTAATAAAGATAATCTTATAGCGTATTCGTTTATTATTCAGTTCCAACCTGGATCGGGTATCAAGATTGGGTCTGCATGTTTTCTGACAAACGTCAACTTGTTCGTCTGTTTTTAAAACCTAGCTCTGGTTGAGGTTCGCACTGACAAAAAGTTCGGTTTCGCACTGGGTTGGAACAGGTTCCAACCCCGATAATAAACGAATTCGCTATTAGTCAACAGAAGTGAAAGACAACTGTTGAAACATTATTTGTGCCCTTCGTTATGTGCTTCTAAAGAAACAACTCGAGTGGTACTCACATTGAGGAAGTCGGCAGCATGTAACGTCAAAATCTCGGAACATCCCAGATCCAGTTCCTTGAGCGGTGGATTTTTGCGTCCCATTAGAGTCCTGATGGGTTCAACGAATAACCTTAAATGAAACACAAGAAAATACACTCAGGTTATTCAGCAGCCATTCCCAGAAAACTTCCGAGTCGTACTTGTAGATATAGTTCCATTCCTCCTCGGAGTAGAATCGTCCTGGCGTGACCAGGGTGGCAAACTTCGGTCGCAATGACAGACTAACCAGACAGGAGCTTTTGCTGAGTCTGAAAATGAAGCAAATTATACAATTATCTATTGGAGGCGAACCAGCCCAAGGCTGAAAGCCTCCCTAATAAAGTTAAATAATAATAATAATACAATTATCTACATCCCACAAATTATCACCAAAATAAAAAACCTACTTGTAGAGGATTTCCGTGGTCAGATCGACGTCGTACAGGTTGCAGGAATCGAAGGAAATCTTCGCCTCGCTAACGATGTGAGCCAGAGACTGCAGAAAGAAGTTGTTCCTCCTATTGTTCTCGCGAGCCACATCGAAGTGAATTCCTTTGAAGAATCTGTGAAACAAAAAATTAACATTCAGAATCAAAGCCCCCGCATCTCCTACACATTTAAAAGGCGTCCGTACACATAAACAAACAGAGGCAGGAATTTGCATGCAGAAACAACAAAATAAAAAAAAAACGAAAACAGTGGCGACGACGCCACCGAAAATAAATAATGCAAGACAAAAAATGAAGCAAATAGAAAATGCCTTTTCTATTAAATGACACTGAAAGACTCACCTCGGTTGGAAGATAACGGACCGCCAGTGCCAGCAGACGGATGAAGCCTGCAGTCGGTCGTGGTAGGTCAAGTACTGGAACACGTCCGTCAGGACGAGGGCAGGAAGTTCACCCCAGTTTGGGCCCATCGAATTCATGTTACTGGCACCAGCAGGAAGGAGGAAGAAAAAAAACAGTCGTCGGCGCTGCTAGCTGCTGCGGAGATTTCGTAACAACGACGCAAAAGAGCAAACGGGGAGCGGATCGCGGGGACGGCGCTATTTTCACCTTCGAAATAACTTCGATTTCTTTTTTCAGCTGATCGCCTCTAGGATATGGATTTTCTTTCCTTTGTTATGTTGTAGGTGGTGATGACTTTCTTTTTTTTTTCTTCGGCTAATCTGCAGGGATGTGGATGCCGAAAATTGCAATCTTCATCAATTTCAACGAGAGACTTACCTCCGGTACGAATTCAGCACAGTTGCGATGAATATGAGCTTTGAATTTGGATTAATTTGGAGTTTTTATCGATGAGTTGCGGAATAAATACGTTTTGTTTTTGTTACGTCTGTCATTGTTGTGCAAGAAAAATCCGTCGTCTGTCAGTCGAGCTCGATAGTCGGTCCATTTTCGAAGCGTTCCTAACAAATACACGCTAAATTCAAAGAGCTCCCCCCGGAGGGCCAATCATATATTATGTAAATCCTAAATTGAAGAATCAACGACGATTGACTCACAGATGGCGAGTGAGTGAAAATGAATGACGTTTTGACACAGAGAACAGTCGTCATATTTCCACCAGAAAATTGTGTATTTAACTTTGTTCACTTTAGGGACTTCTTTCGACGCGGAGTATATAAAATAATAACACTAGTCTCTAGTTCTGAGTTCTAGGAAAAACTAAACAGATGTTTATTGAAAGGCCTTTTTATATGTGAACATTCGAACAGTTTATAATGCGCATTTCACACCAAATTGGACTAATAAGCGTGTTTTCTATTATTAAAAAGTGTGATAAAATTGTTTACGTCTAATCGTCTTGATGTCTTCGGTGCACTTATTCCTTATAATGCAAGCAATAAGTGCTCCGAAGACATCAAAACGATTTGACGGAAACGTGCACTTTTATCACACTTTTTGCATTTTTGGGACAGTCCAGTTTCAGATGCAATCAGCAATATTTCAACTACAAAGGATAACTGCATTCATTCTGTTCATCCAATTCATTCTATTCAAACCATCCTAATGATGGGTTCGGAACAGTTGGTCGAATACGACCGCACTCCTACAATACTTCCTCCTTAAGTTTTGTGCTCATTTCAAAATTCAAAATAATGTTAATCCTAACTCGAATGATTAAAAATATACGAAATCATTTTTCTTATAAGAATATCTAACTCTCTTCGATCGCCTGACATTAGGCGTTTGTGGATTCTTACGCTTTCTTGATTCAATTGCTAAATCTGAAATTTTATCTGAAATCCTTGCAGCCGAGGAACTCGACGCTAAAAATTTGGGAACTGAAGATTGTACGGGCGCATCAAAGATGTTAGAATCCGATGCAAAACCATAAAAATCTTCTTCATCTGTTTCTGCATTCTGCTGGTTACTTGTGCTTGCTGCATCATGCTCATGATCTAGAGGTTTTCCGATCGAATGTATTCTCTGCCAAGCGCAGCTGCTGTCGGTGGGCGGAAAACAATCGACCGCCCAGTGAAACCTGGAAAATATTCGTAGATAGTCTTTTAATGAATTTTACTCTCAACCCTCGACGAATGTCAGTAGGATTATGATTTTTGTAGTAAACAGGATCTCCTGCCGTCAGCTTAGTAAAAGGATCATGTACAGAAATGTCTGTACTTTGTCGAGTGTAAGATTCATCATGCTGTGGTATAGTTAGTTGTCTTTTGTAATGAGATTTGGGGTTAATTAAATCTAGATCCGTTTTAGTTTTGAAATTAAAGACTCTTTCTGAAGGAAATTGACCGTTGTCTAGACAAGTGTTTCTATAATTTAACAAGAAATGGTAAACTTTATCCTCTGTGTCCATAGTTTGCATCTGTGGGTCAAGTAAGAATTTTTTGAATACTTCTTTAATCAGCCTTACCATCCTTTCCGCTTGTCCATTGCTTTGGGGGTTGTATGGAGGACTCTCCAGGACCTTTATACACTGGTTTTCAAGAAACTTGATGAAAGGAAACGAATTGAAAGGAGGACCCCCATCAGTGACGACAACGTCCGGAAGACCAAATCTAGAAAACATGGCTGTAAATTTCCTTATCACCTTCTTGCTATCAGTTCCATACGGCATGAACTCTTATTCCAACCATTTGGTATTACCACAGACAAACAGACATAACACTCGCAAGATCGCATTTATCGGTCAATTTAAAAGTATTTTAGTTGGTAGTACCGCCACCTGTGGCGCGCATAGTCAATTCCCTTGCGTTTGACGTTTCCACACTACCGCCATCTGTTCAGCGTACTACCCACCACAGTGTACTCAACAGCTGGCGGTAATGTTTTAACAACGATGTTTTACAGTGAGAAATATTCAATGTGTTATGTCTGTTTGTCTGTGGTATTACTGTCAACTATAATTTAAAAAAAACTTTTTGTTGGAAATAAAAAAAAATCAGCGTGCAAACGGCTGAAAGGTCGCGTTGTTGGAATCCATGAGTTAATTGACTTTGGTTTTTTGCAAGGTTTTTTAATAATATACATCTCATTGCAGGCACGGCACGATTTAATGTAGTTTTCGATATCCTTATTCAAACCGAACCAGTAGACACTCCTTCTAGCTAACTGTTTTACTTTGTGTATTCCGGTATGATTCTTGTGTAACATTTTAAGGATATTCTTTTGCAATGTACCCGGGATAATGACTCTATCTTGAAATAGGATGCAACCACAGACAAACAGACATAACACTCGCAAGATGTTCATAGAATAAGCATTTATCGGTCAATTTAAAAGTATCTTAGTTGGTAGTACCACCACCTGTGGCGCGCATAGTCAATTCTCTTGCGTTTGACGTTTCCACACTACCGCCATCTGTTCAGCGTACTACCCACCACACTGTACTCAACAGATGGCGGTAATATTTTAACGACGATGTTTTACAGTGAGAAATATTCAATGTGTTATGTCTGTTTGTCTGTGATGCAACCATCAACTACCTCAAGATCTAGATAGTGTTTATGGACGTCTTTGAATTCTGGCTTTGGTTTTTCTGGCCAACCATAAATAATAAACTGTTGAATTTGCTGGAGGAAATCATCTTTCTTTGTTTCATTTGCTATCTGTCGGTAATCGATGGGAAAATCCGTTGAAAAGTTTAAACTTTTAATGTATTCCCTCCGTAATGATTTTGGCACCTCAATGGGCAATGGAAATCGGGAGCAAAAGTCAGCGTTTCCCATCTTTGAAGCAGGTCGATACACAATATCGAAATCATATATGGAGAGTTCCATTACATAGCGTTGTAGTCTAGTTACGTACATGGAATTTCTTCCTTCTTTTCCAAAAATGCCGATGAGTGGTTTGTGGTCAGTGTAAACTGTAAACTTTTGTCCATAAAAAATTTATGAATTTTTTTAATGGTGCTCACAACTGCCAAAGCCTCCAAATGTAATATCGGGTATTTTCTTTGAGCGTTATTCAATGAAAATGACGCAAATGAAATAGGCTTCTCTATGCCATTTATTGCATGAGCAATAACTCCACCAATTCCGAAACTGGAGGCATCGGAAACCACTACTACCGGCTTCCTCGGATCAAAAAACTCCAAAAGATTATCTTTTAAAAGGTAAATTGGCGTCTTGCAGTGAAACTTTTCCAAGCTTTCGCCACCTACATTTCGAAGTGAGATCTACTAGAAGGAGGATAGTTTCCAAATTCTCCAAGTAAAACAGACGATTTTTGGGGCAAATCGGTACATAAAGAAAAACTAATAATTTCCGGTGGAAACTTTTGCTTGAATCGTGTAAGATAACGTGTTTGCAAACTAACTGTTATTATTTCGGTATGGATCGGAGATGTTTTCATGGAAAATTATGCACAACAAGATTGCACCACAGCTAGAGGTTACCTCCTGCGCAGCTGCATTTTTCGGAAAATGGTGAATATGTGCGATTTCCACTAGTATGAAAGTGGAAATTAAGTTAATTTACTTAGGAAAGATTGTATCATGCTGGTGATAATGGAGAAATGGTTGTATAGGACGCCAATATTCAATAAATGTTCATTTTGGCCTTTTTTAGGTAAACATATTGATACTCACAATTTTCGACGGAAAACGCAACGGCATTTGATTTACTCATATTTTATTATAATTACTATAAAATGGTGCTCGATGGTTTATAAAGTGATAACAAGATGACAAATCTTCTTTATTTTAGTAATTGAGCAATTTACTTCTGTTTACATCATATGTACGATCGAAGACAACAAATCAAGAAGACTGGCAACACTTCCATTTTCTCATACGAACGCTATGAGACAGGTACAATCGCATCATCTGCCGCTCAAAGGTAAATGCTTCGAACGAATTTGATAGCAAAGATTACATCCTCAGAAGAAGGGTTTGTGTATTTGCTCATTTTTCTATGCGTTGCTTCCACCTTCAGTCAAGCGCAGCGCCATTGTATCTGTCGCTTGGATTCTGGCAAAGTTGCCAGTCTTCTTGATTTGTTGTCTTCGGTACGATGCAGCATTGATGGAGCTGTGAAATTAAATGAATATATCTAATGAAAGTTCATCTGGAAAAGTCAAAGATGCAAATCAGTCTGATCGTGAAAACATTTTCTTCTTCAATTCGAATGTTATATTAGAAGGATTTTACACAGCAAAAAAAGTTGTTGAATATTACATCGAAACTGCTGCAACCAGGTCAATCCATCGGTTGTGTAATATCACATTGTACGATGCACATCGATTTTGCGAACAAAATTACATCCATTGATGTAATATTGTATCTGCTTTTTGCTATTACATCATTATTTCATACATCAGCTTGAATTACGTTGATTGATATTACATTTTTTTTTTGCTGTGTACGCAGGCTTGATGAAAATTATGATTTAATGCTTTTTTTTTTTTTTCCTTTGATTTGTTTTTTTCCATCGATCTTGTTTTCCGTGCTGAGCACCAATGCTACCGACGTGCCAGGAAGGCAGCTCCCACACCTGGACCCTATCTATCGACCCATCAACTCATGAACCGGGGACCAACGGCTTTACTTCCCATCCGAAGGAAGGCGTGATCAGAGATGTTATGCCTCAGAACATCCCGGCGGCGCCGACTGGGATTGAACCCAGGCCTGCTGGGGTGAGAGGTAATCACGCTTACCACTACACCACCGGCGCCGTTATGATTTAATGCTAATTTTCACGAATGTTATATGCAGTCTGCCAACATTATCATTATCATGCAGTGGCGACATCTGCGTCGAGAGTTTTACGGCAATCTCCCAATCTTTACACAAGTTTCTGGTGGAAGTTGGACGTCTATAATGGCAAATCAAGGTTGGCTCCCGTGGAGAATAGAAGAACTATGAAAGTGATGATGGTTTAAAAAAAATCCACAAGGAGGAATACAAGTGTAATCATAAAATGCTTTTATTTTGCAAATGGAGCATTTCATTTAAATCTGGTTAATGCTACAGTAGTAGCAACAATCAATACGAAACTAACGATTTTAAATTGGCTCACCACTTTAGTAGCCTATTGGTCCCAAGCAAACCGATTAACGTACCCCAATCTAGTATAAATTCCAGTACTACACTATGTTTGTTTTGATTCGCTATGAAAGTTTGACAGATAAAATGAGGGGTTAGTGAATTTTCCTATGTTTCGAGGGGTGAATCTATTAGCTTGGGACCGAAGATAGTACCAGAGCTGAGCCAAAAAGTTAAGCTCGTTTCTGCGGGACCTTCTGGTCTTAGAGTTACCTCTATGAACGTACCCTATTCTAGTCGAAATTCTAGTACTACGCAATGTTTGTTTTGATTCGCTATGAAAGTTTGACAGATAAAATGAGGGGTTATTGGTTTTTCCTATGTTTCGAGGGGTGATTCGACAAGCTTGGGACCGAAGATAGTACCAGAGGTGAGCCAATAAGTTGAGCACGTTTCTTCGGGACCTACTTGTCTTAGAGTTACCTCTATGGTAGTAGACAAGCTGAAATTTATATATATAACTAAAAATCTGAAAAGAAATCATATTTTTTCTATATTATATGTCTATTGAGTAGCCTTTAAGTTTTCTGCTAACGTAGCATTAACCAGATTTTATGAAAATATTTTTTTCGCAAAACAAATGCATTTTAAGATTGCACTCGTATACCTCTCCGTGTAAAATTTTGAAACCATCATCACTTTCATAGTTCCTCCACAGACAAACAGACATAACACATTGAATATTTCTCACTGTAAAGCATCGTCTCCAAAACACTACCGCCATCTGTTGAGTACACTGTGGTGGGCACTACACTGAACAGATGGCGGTAGTGTGTAAACGTCAAACGCAAAGGAATTGACTATGCGCGCCACAGCTGGCGGTACTACCAACTACGATACTTTTAAATTGTCCGCTAATTGCTTGTTCGATGAACAACTTGCGAGTGTTATGTCTGTTTGTCTGTGGTTCCTCCACAGAGAACAGACGTCCAACTTTGGTCAGAAACTTGTGTAAAGATAAGTGGGAACATCGCCGTTACGTGGTGCTAGCATTACCTGATTTCGAGGGGGGCGACACATCTCCCAAGTAAAAATTAGGGTTTTATGGGGGTTCTGTAGACTATGAATTAGACTTGTAGCATGCTTTAAAACCGTGATAAAACTTGCAATGTTACTTGGGCTAAATCTCAAATTTAGATGCTCAACAAATCTCAGACTAGCGAATCAATCTTCGAAAAATCTTCTTTCATTTGTCGCATCTACTTGCATCACCGACAAACCGACAAGAATGACCATAGCAAAAACAATAAAATTTCTAACCAAAGCACACTACTGACATCTTGCTCCGTGTTCGTGGGAAATATTTAGCTAAGCCATGAGCCCGCATGCAAAAGTTATGAATTGGTTCGTGTCTGATCTATTCTGGACAAATTATTTTTATCTAGATCAAAAAATCATATGGTTTTGATAGTTCGGATCACTGCACATTTAAATCGACCGTTTACGATTTTCGGGCATAAGTCAGAATTAAGTGTCATGTCGGTTTGTCGGTGCTTGCATCGCGCATCATCTTTTTGCAGGAAATCTTCAAAATCTTCATCAATCTTCTTAATATCTACTCAGCGTGAGCGCAGCTAGCCACAGCAAAACACAATCTTTTCTGTATTGGCAAATCAAAGTTGGCACTCGTGGAGAATAGATGAACTATGAAAGTGATGATGGTTTCAAAATTTTACACGAGTTCAATCTTAAAATGCCGTTATTTTGCAAATTGAGCATTTCATTTAAATCTGGCTAATACTACGTTAGTAGAAAACTTAAGGACTACTCAGTAGATATATAATATAGATAAATTAATTTCTTTTCAGATGTTTAGGTGTATGTATAGATTTCAGCTTTTCTACAACTGTAGCAACAACCAGATTTAAATTCAATGCTCCATTTTCAAAATAAAAGCATTTTAAGATTGCACTCGTATACTTTCATCACTTTTATAGTTCATCTATTCTCCACGAGTGCCAACTTTGATTTGCCAATAGAGGCGTCCCCCTCGCTTGATTTCCTCTATAAATTTTCCACTTTCGATTTCCATACCAATTTGGCTAGTATGCGCTAGTATCGATAAATTTTCTGTTGAAAATTGCCACTTGGCGCTTTCAGCACATAGTGTCTAGTGTAAGTTTTGCAACGCCGCGCTATCAGGTTGTCAAAGAGAATTTTTAAGTGGGAAAGTTGCCGTTAGGGGCGCTTAAGTCGAATAGGAATCTTTACACTAGTTTTAAGAGAAATTTTGTTCGAGCCTCAACGTCTGTTCCCTGTGGTACCATAGAGAACAGGCGTCCAACTCCGGTCAGAAACTTGTGTAAACATAAGTGGGGACATCGCCAATACGTGGCGCCAGCATCTCCAGATTTCCTCTATAAATTTTCCAATTTCGACCAATTTAGCGCTAGTATCGATAAATTTTCTGTTGAAAATTGCCACTTGGCGCTACCAGAAATTAGTGTCTAGTATAAATTGTACAACGGCAGGGTTGTCAAAGAGGGTTTTTAAGTGGGGAAGTTGCCGTTAGTGGTGGTTACGTCTTATAGGAATCTTTACACTAGTTTTTAGAGAAATTTTGTTCGAGCCTCAACATCTGTTCTCTGTGTCCGTACTATCACCACAGAGAACAGACGTAGAAGAAAGACGTTGGGGAAATGGCTCTAATGTGGGATCTAAGATTGGGCCCATCGCTAAATATCTGCTATTTATCAATTTTATCTAGATGAACGCGTCATTGGGAAGGCACTAATAAATATTTTTGGTCGCTATTGAAAATTTAGTCGAATTGCTGAATTTATATACGGGCCCAAATTAGGGGCATTCAGGCCTCTATAAAATAAAAGCTCTACAAGATATACTTTGTCAGTCCGGTTCACTTCCGTATCCTCCAATACTTTGACCATTTTGCGTTGAGAAAGGTAATTCTTCTAATTACAATCGACGAGTGCGAAACACATTATCATTTGATTAACTAACAGTTTCATGAGTTTGGGTTGGAATGAATGTTTGGCGTTGGCGTGAAGCTGCACGATAATCTCAAGCATGAGATTTGTTGGCAGTTTCTGATGCGAGTTTATGCTCTTTCTTAAGAGCTTAATGATTTGAGAATGATTTTCCCAACACTGACGGAATCCAATCTAGCAGGTTGGTTTGTCCCGTAAACGAGGTGGGCACCGAAATTTCTCCAAAATTGTCAGGGCTGTGATACAACTTTACGGCGAGGGAAAAAGCAAACTGCGAACCGCCACGCAGTCAAAAGAATCAAGATATTTTAAAACATATTGCTCTATTATCATATCGAATCATCAAAGTATTATTGTGTTTGACATTCGAAAATCTAAGATTTTCGTTCTTTTATCATGTAGTGTGTGACAGTAGTAGCCTTTTTTTTGTTTGAATGCGGTATTTTTCGGTTTGATTTTCGGCGGTTCCTATCGGATTTGCGACTCCCACCACCACCACTAGCTCATATGGAGGAAAATGGGAGGTGAGGATTTCTTTTTTCCTGTCGATGTTTTTGTGATGTTTTCGAGTGGTCATGTCTTTGATGTCTTTTCAGCTAATATCTACTCATGTTCTAGCCGTTTAAATAGTAAATTGTTCATTTTGTCTCGTTTGTGGGTGTAAAATATATTAAGTTAATTAGGAAAATATAAAACTAATAAAAAATGCCTACAGTCACAAATAGGGGAAATAATATAGTCAGCATTTGTGGCTAAAACCTAACTCTTGTTCTTCACTACTACAATCTAGGAAATTACACTTCTGTTCTTGTTTTTGAAACATTTGTGTTTGTGTTCAGCTGATGTTTTTTTTTTCTTCTTCTTAGGGATTCACCTTAACTTATATTGCAAGAGATTTTTTGTATTCCTTTTTGTGTGATTATTATATTTTGTTTTATCAAGAAACATCCTTTTTCTAGATAAAATAATAGGAAATAATTTTGTAATAACAAAAAAAAATGGTGACACTACTACGAGATAAAATTTTGCACTAAAACTGTTCCGGAGGGGGTGTTTCGCCTTAAACTACAGGATTTGCTTCTCCTTCGATCAGAGTAAAATTGTGTTCTCCACACATTTATACTAGAAAAAAAAAGCAGCTATGAAAAAGTGAGTTTCGTTCACTTGCTTCTCACTTTACAAGTGAGAGTTACTACGAGATGCAATGCGTTTTTCTTAGTATAACAATCTGAAAGTCTTCTACAATCCTAGTTTCTACTCACTAACTCATTGCAAGTATTTTTGAAAGTTCGATTTAAGAGAGATAAGTAGTTTTTGTAGGGTATACTAAAGCATGTTTCTATGTACATTTCTACCTAGCAGGATGAACAAACACAAACGTATTTAGGAAATAACTGCGAGAACGAAAAAATGTAAAATTTGTCGTCTTTGCCCTGTTCAAAATATCCTGCCGCCCGACACGAAAGTAAAAATAATCACATCTTCCAGTTTTATCTTCCTTAACACACTAAAAGATTCTAATGATGCATCTTATAACTAACTATCAGTAGCTCATCTACCATCTACAAGCTTCTCACATTTACATCTTGCACCAAACACTGCGCTGCATATAGTGATAGATTGCTGTTTACTTTCCTGGCATTACAATTCCGACTAACATTTTCCTTTTCTGTCAATGAAAATTTATTATAATAAAAAAAATTAAAAATAATTTTTGGTTCAAAAGTGTTGCTTTCGTTCAGTGTTTTCCGCGTGCGAACCGGTTCGATTTCCGGCGCAGAGCTTTTCTTGCATCGCGAGCGCCTTTGACGGTCGATCAGACCAACTCCGAATGGAGTCGAGTCAACTCAATTTCGACAAAACTGGATTTACTCGGAAATGGGTTGGTAAAACTTCTCGAAATCCATGAAAATTTTACTCCGTTTGGGAGTATATTAGAATAACCCAAATTTGAGTTTAGTTTACTCATAAATCGCAAAAAGTTCAGGAACGAAGCGATGAGTAATTTTTTTCACCGCTGAGTTCCTGCACTTTTTGAGATTATGAGTAATTTGGGTCGTTCTCATTTGCGATCGATTTTGCTCCTGGAAAAGTCCGGAAAATACAATTCACTTTTGAGTAAACCAGCTTTTGCCGAAATTTAATTGACTCGATTCAATTTTGAGCGAGTCTGAACGACCGTGTATTTCCCAACTGCTGATTGCTTCGTGCTGCCACCTGGCAGCTTCAACCAAACAGGGCGCTTTCCCATGCGCACATGTGCACTGATCGAAGTTTTGTTCCGCTTTCGCTCATTTCATGCCACTAAAATTTAGTTGTCTTATTTTACTAATTATTTTTTTAAAATAGATTCCTTTTCTACTTTATGAACGAAAAAAAAAAATGCAACATTCGAGAGCCCGAAAATAAGAGACACATTATCTGGATTGCGAGATTTGGTAGCTTCCTTCCGGCGGGAAGGAAGCGTTTTAAACTTAGTAAAAAAACAGAGAGTCAGCATAGACTAATATGCCTAGGAAACTAGTGGCCTCGGGGCAACGACCGGCGGCAGGACCACCGTTGAGGATCCGGTTGCCATCGTTTCGTCGCCGCCTATCGAGGAAGTGCCCGTCTTGGCCGGCGATACGATTGGCGAAGCTGCCGAGGTGGAACTGTGGCCGCTACTGCTGCCGACCGGTGACGACGAAGATGATGACGACAACGTCGTCGTCAGTGGCATTCCACCGGTGGGAGCCGTTACCAGGAGCGATGACGACGATGGCTGGTTGGATGATGGGACTGCTGCGACGGCGATGCTACTACTGGCCAATGATGTGGATGTGGCTGCCATCGTTTGCGAGGATGAGGACTTGGGCGAGGACGAAGGGTTTGCGAACAGGACACCCTCGTACTGGATGCCATTGAATTCCATCGAGACCACCAGCTGCTGGTCGCCCTTCGAGGCGTCACCTGGAATATGAAGATGGGGGTGTGATTAGCGGGATTCAACTGATTTCTAAATTTGACCCTCTCTTTCCCATGGAAGCACAGGTGAGATTGTTAGTTTAGTTTAGTTAAGGAAAAAATTAACGTTTAATGTTTCTCGCGTTTCATATATATATATAGTAAGTCCCGTTTCTCCACCCACTTCAAAAGAAGTGCATAATAGTCGAGGGCGGTTTTGTTATTGTCCGTGATTGTCAGTAGGAAAAGAAAGTTTAGAACCACGCTTTCCATGCTCGGGAATGGCGGCCAGTTTGTATGAATAAATGTGCTTTTTGACACTATCTGGAGGTTCAGATTATGACCCCTCCCTTTCCCTCTACCAGGAACATAAGAAAATGGAGCAACATACGCTCTCCAGTTAGTGTCAAAAAGCATAGTGAAGGATACATTTATTCATACAAACAGGCCGCCATTACAGAGCATGGAAAGCTGGATACCCGAGTGCTTTGTGCCTTTTATGCAGCGCGCATTCGCTGGAAAGAGAATTCCCAGCATAGTCTGGTGTATGATATTGGAGTTCCCCCGAAAAGTGCCCGCCCGTGGTTTTGAAACACGGCACAGTAGAGTGTAGGATCGCCATTATGGGATTCCCCGGGTAAACGAAAAGGATCCGCTCGCCGTTTTCGCAACGAAGGGTAAGCTAAACGAGCCAAACTTCCCTTCTTTGTTAATAGCCAAGGAGAGCGAGGCAGGTGGAACCAAAGGAGCGTTTCCCTGGATAGTCCACTGCAGTGGCTATCAGGACCGACTGCGGGGAGTCGAATGGTTCGGTGATTCTTCACCATCGTCGCCGAGAGGGGGTTTCGAAAAAGGAGAGTTAGAAACGGACGACGCGATTTGCAAGCTCAGTATATTCACACGCCAATCCATCGAACGATCGAAGTGTTTACATCTCACGCCAACCGCCGGATGTACCGGATAAACAATCATAATCAGTTGCTGATATCATCACATCCCAACGAGAGCTTGTGACCACCCTACGATAGCCAGCACCGGAGCGTAAACATAAATATACTAAGCATTCATCAGAAGGAGAACCTTCTTGCTAGCATAATAGCGAATTCGTTTATTATCGGGGTTAACACCAGTTCCAACCCAGTACAAAACCGAACTTTTTGTCAGTGTGAACCTCAACCTGAGCTAGGTTTTAAAAACAAACGAGCAAACTGACGTTTGTCAGAAAACAAGCAGACCCAATCTTGATACCAGGTTGGAACTGAATAATAAACGAATTCGCTATAAGATTGAAAATGTAATTAGTCTTAAGTGATCAGTGAATAGGGCTACAAAATGGTGAGTGACAATCTGGAAGGAGCGATATACCTAGCTCCGGTCCTCACAAGTTCCTACCTCACGCCTCCACGAGTCATATGATCACAAAAGACTGCCAGCTGAAACATGGACACAGCTGGTTGGCGTAGCCTGGGCAATGTTGTCAATCCGACAATAGCAGAGTGAGGAGGTGCGACGCGAACACTGGCGCGGTAACCATAGCACGGTGATAGAGGAAATGCTTCGCCAACTCGAGCGTCTGTTCACCATGGAGGTGCGGCTCAAACAGCGTCTGACTGGCATCCAGCGGCTGAATAAGAAATGCTCTTCCCCGGAAGCTACACCTAAGATGGCAGCCCCATCACGGCGGATAGGAGACCTTAGGCCAATCACCTACAGTCTCTGAAACCTTTACAATTGTTACAGAAACCAACAGAGAAAGACATCGAACTGATTTAACGGCAACGACTTTTAGCGCAAAACAACGGACACGAATTGGATCATGGAATGTATTACCGTTAGCCCAGCAGGGTAAACTGGCACAACTCGCCAATGAGGCGCGACTGCCGTCGGGACAGGTACTACTATACTGCCGTCGGGACAAACTGCCGTCGGGACAGGTACTACTATACTCTGGTATTCGAGGTGAAAACGCTCCCCGCCATCGTAGAGTTGGTCTCCTACTTAGCGTCCAGGCAAGTGCTGCGCTCATCAAGTGGAAGCCTGTTAATGAGAGGATAATCGTTGCCAGATTTAGAACACGGGTTCGTAACCTTACCATAATCCAATGTTAGGCGCTACAGGACAAGGAGAATTTTAACAGTCAATTGAATGCCGTCGTGTATAAGGTTCCAAAGGGTGACATCAAGATCTACACTGGCGACTTCAATGCGAAGATCGGCTCCGACAACACGGACGCCATGGTCTCGGCGAAATGAGCGAGAACGGTGAGCTGTTTGCAGAATTTTGTGGCAATAACGACATGGTGATCGGGAGCTCGCTCTTCCCCCATCGGCCAGTGCACAAAGTCACGAGGGTTTCCCGTGATGGACATACCGAAAATCAGATCGACCACATCTGCATCAACCGAAAATGGAGACGGAGCCTTCTTGATGTCCGGAATAAACGCAGCGCCGACATCGCGTTTGACCATCACCTTCTAATCGGCGAAATCCGCCTACGCATGGTGCGGATCCAGCGACGGGAGGAGAGACTCGGGCGGCGGTTCAACATACGCCGACTTGAAGATCCAGCGGTAAAAAGATCTTTTGTTGAAGAACTTGAGACTCGAGCTACGGACGTTCCAGAATGGACGGCCACCAAGAATGCCTTTATAGAAACAAACGAGAACAACTTGGGTGAGCTGCGCACCCAGAAGAAAGAGTGGATCACAGATGAAACCTGGCGGAAGATTGAGGAGCGTAGATAAGCAAAAGCCGCGATAGAGCGGGCGAGAACAAGAGGAGCCAAGAACTAAGCCTGTCAACGGTACTCGGCTCTAGAGAAGCGAGCCGAGCGCTCTTGCAGACGGGACGACGAAGGGGAGAAAGCCGCAAACACTGGCGATATACGCCTCCTCTACGATATCTCACGACGCCTGAGTGGAGCAAGGATGAACCCGAGGATGCCAGTGAAGGACACGACTGGACAATTGCTTACCGACCCCACTGACCGAAGTCATCGCACCAAAATCCGAATTTTCAACTCGAACGTGAAATCTGTGTTGTTATACACCAGCGAGACGTGGTGTGTATCAGCGGAGAATACTCAAAACCTGCACTACCCATAATCGCATATCAGTCCCATCTTTGCTTGATTTCCTATCCTTATGGGACTGATATGCGATTATGGGCAGTGCAGGTCTTCATCAACCGATGCCTGCGGCGGTATATAATTCGTGCCTGGTGGCCTCGCAACTGGATCTCGAATGCTTAGCTCCATCGTCGATGTCATCAGAAGCCGATAGCAACAGAAATTCGAGAACAAAAGTGGAGGTGGGTCGGCCACACACTTCGACGAGGCGGACACGAAATCTGCAAGCAAGCGATGGTTGGAATCCGGCAGGACATCACAGCAGAGGTAGACCCAGGGGCTCATGGCGGCGGAGCCTTAATAAATAAATTGAGCAAGTCGATAGGAATCTGACCTGGGCCCAGGACAAGACAAAAGCGAGCAGCCGCCCAGGATGGAAGTCTTTCACGTTGGCCCTTTGCTCCGCTAGTGGTGCACAGGACCCTTAAGTAAGTAAGTAAGATCAATGAATAAATACGGAGTAAAGCTCCTAAAAAAAAAATTTTTCCAAATCATTAGAAGGAAATTCTTAACTGGAGCCTCGCTTATCCCCCGCGAAATGCTAGGGACCGCTGCTAGGCAGCCAAACATTGAAGAAGCAGAGACACGTGCACAGCAAGAACTGCCGCCGCCTATGTCGAAGGGCCCCACCTTGTGACACCATTATATAAACAGATTATTAGAACAGACGTCTTAAATTTAGCTTCTCTCTATTTTTCCCATCATTTTCACTCAAATCCGAACGTCTTTGGGGGAAGTACCCTGCTCGTAGCCGCCTCGCCGAGGTAAACCGGGCCAGCTATCCAGCTTTCCATGCTCGGTAATGGTGGCCTGTTTGTATGAATATATGTATCCTTCACTGTCCTTTTTGACACTATCTGGAGGTTCGGATTTTGAGCTCTCCCTTTCCCTCTCTAAGGAACAGAAGAAAATGGAACAACATACGCCCTCCAGTTAGTGTCAAAAAGCACAGTGAAGGATACATTTATTCATACAAACAGGCCGCCATTACCGAGCATGGAAAGCTGGATAGGCTGGCAGCCCGCATAAACGCGAACCATAAATTGACCTTACCTAAAATGGTTAAAAATTGTTTATAATCCCTGCTAAACTTTAACTGAAATGGTTATGGAACTTTACATGAACGTTTAATGATAAAGTTTCAACCTTATGTATTATGGTTTTTTGGAACTGGTTGCAAACCTTACAAATAATGGGTTGTTAAGAACCATTACCATTCCAAATTCTTGTTTTCTCCATACATTTTCAGAAAGAGCACTATATAAGAACGTTTTTACTTATGATTTGAGAACATTAATGGTAATGGTTATGGTAGTCAGTAAGGTCCATTAATGGTTTTGTATTATCGCTCAACTTTACGTGGAATATATCGCGAATTGGTAATCAGTAAATTACAGGCAACCAATTCGCGATATATTCCACATACAGTTGATCGATGTTACAAAACCATTCGTGGACCTTACTGACTACCATAACCACCAAGTTAAAAGGTTCTAATATCCAGCTTTCCATGCTCGGTAATGGCGGCCTGTTTCGTATGAATAAATGTATCCTTCACTGTACTTTTTGACACTAACTGGAGAGCGTATGTTGTTCCATTTTCTTATGTTCCTGGGAGAGGGAAAGGGAGGGGTCATAATCTGAACCTCCAGATAGTGTCAAAAAGCACAGTGAAGGATACATTTATTCATACAAACTGGCCGCCATTACCGAGCATGGAAAGCTGGATAGTTCTCTTTCCGAAAATGTATGGAGAAAACAAGAATTTGGAACGGTAATGGTTCTTAACAACCCATTATTTGTAAGGTCCAGTTCCAAAAAACCATAATACATAAGGTTGAAACTTTATCATTAAACGTTCATGTAAAGTTCCATAACCA